AGTGTGTAAGGTATAATGTGCCCAGACAGAAAACACAACAGGGTATAATGAATGCACTACAACATACTAATGTAATACTTCACTTGCCCTACTTCTTATTATTTTCAATTAATTAATTATAAACATATTCTAACACAACACTCTTTAAAGCCCCTACAATGAATATGCAATTTTTCTTGTGTGCAACAGTTATATATAGCAAATAATGGTCAGATAACAAAAGCCTACATGGAGAAGAAAGGATGAGTCTGAGACATGAGAAGACAAACAGGTAATTTTGTAAGTTAATTTCCCAGTTGAGTGAAAAAAAGGGAAACAGTACTTACCAGGCATAATGCTTTTCATCTGCAAAAGGGTTCCCAACCTAATTACAGTCTCACAACTCCTTGTAATATGATCTGCAACTATTATCTCTGTTGTACCATGGAAGAAATCATAGGACAGCAGCTTACCCGGAGTGGTCCAGATTTCCAGTTTTTTGCTCAGACCACATCCCATTTCTTTTTCTGCACCATACCCTGTCACTCAACTCCCCTGAACGCACTGACTTTGCCTGCTTAACTGCAGCACTGTGATCTTCCAGCCTCAGAAGCCCCAGGTTTCCATGTGCCTGGGTACTGTGTCAGGATGCTTGAAACATTCACATTTTTTCCTCTCAAACCAAGCATCGTTTTATGGATAACGACACATTTGCTCTGTGTTTACAGGAACAAGCAACACGAGTAAAATGAACAGTCAGAGAAGTGAGGATAGTGCTGACGCTCTCCTTCTGTCAGGATGAAAGTTAGCAACATGCTTCACGCTCCACGTCAGCCCTGCTGGGATTACCTGAGTCCTTGGGAAACGTCCCCAGTTTGCGAAAGGCACAGTTGTTTTTCCACTACGGAAGTGAAACCCACAACTTTTTTTTTTTTTTTTAAGCATTTGTTTTTGAACAACTGTTTTGTGCTCCTTAAAGGCACTGCCACAAGGCTGTCACAGCTGGGAAACACAAACACCAAAAGCACGCGCCCGCAGTCAGATCCAGCGCAGATTAACAACGATGCACTTCATGACTTAAAAAGTAGTGTGAACTTGAAATAGATGTATAAATAAGGTGTTGAACAACAAAACCTTTTATATATAACTACTGCCTCATGGATAACTGCTTAAAAGAACAAAAGCAAGTGATCTAAATATAAACTGCAATTACCTGCCACAGCCTCCAAAACCGCTCCTTGCAGCTTTGTGTTGAACCATAACTACGTGGAAACCTTCCTGCCCTTTGCTTAACCACTGACCTCGGCTCCTGTGACCCTCACACTGTCCCTAGCCACATTATTCATCTCTCATTCCTTCTCAGTAGACACAGTAACTAGATGACCGTAGTTGACATACTGCATTAACCTATTATTAGGTGATCCTGACACTCTACCTCACATTTTCTCAGTTTATATTCACAACAATTCTAAATTGAAATATCAAGGGTGATAGGAACTTTTTATCCACAATCCTGGAAGTGGTAATGAGCAAGAAGGCAGGATTGTACGTGACAACCTCAGTTACAGCCTGTGTGATACTATAACCTAGAAAAATGGAAGTGGGCTTTTTATCTCTTCCTTGCTTAAAATATGCGGAAAATGGTAAGTTTACCCCCCGCCCCTTCATCAAAAGTCTCAGAGAACTTGCCTGTCAAGTATTTGAAAGATGGAGAAGTCATGCAAAAAAATAATTTATGAAACTAAAAGGTCTTATGCAACCTCCCAAAACCTATTTGTCATAAAGAACGGGCAAAGCTTTCTAAATTAACTTGTTCAGCCGACAGAAGACACTCGCCCTGCCTTGCCTTGTCTCAAAATGAGTCACTGATGTGGCCAACTGAGCAGTGGGAAAGAGGAAAACCTGTTCAAAAATGTCCTTCCCAGGACAAAGGAGAACCTGGTGGCTAAAGGTGTAGCCTGCCATATGCACCAAGGATAAAAGAAATCACCTTGTTATTCAAAGCCAAGCTTGCACCGAGGACAACATCAAAATACAGGGGAATCTAAGGAAGCAATTAAGACTTATTAAGCTTTGGTTCCCTTGACACCCATAATCACTTGAAACCGTACTACAGCAACATGGCTTGTAACCAAATACAGCTTGCAGATAATGAATTTAAGGGAAATACCTAAAACGAAAGTGCAATGAATAGTAAACGATATATTTGCCAATAGAAGAGGCACCTGCTGACTGGAGTAGCCCAACCAGTAACTGTTTTTTGCTCAACAAGAGGCAATATTCCAAACTAAGTCAATGACAAAAAAAAATTAAGAAGATACTCACCAGCAAGAGTATAATCCATATCAAAACCGAAGCACTTTATCTTTTCCATGGCTAAACTTCTGTTTACAAAGACCCTACAAAGAGAGAAGAAATAAAGCCATAGGTATGAGCATTTTCAAAATAATCACGTTTTAGAACAAACACGTTTTGCCAGGTGTCAGGATCAGCCAGCTCTCTTAGGTCAAAATCAGAAAATATACCTGCAAATGGAGGCACGATTCATTTTTTGCCATGAGTTCTCCTGAAGCAAAGCCATGACTTTGCACCGTTATTCTAATTATTGGTATGCCGTCTAAAGACATACACGCATGCATGCACACACACACAGAGCTTTGCATGTGACCTGCAAAAATTCCTAAGAATAGAAGTGCAAAATCTCCTGAAGCAGAATTTAGAGCTCAAGTGAGAGGAAACTGGAAGCAGAGGATGGGAAGCAATACAATTTGCTTGATTAAAACAAATTATTACAAAGACGTACAAGGAAAAGAAAAGAAAAAAAAAACATTTCTGTGAATAAACTCACAGCATCCGAGCCCGCTTTGGAACTATATCTGGAAATTCAAAGCAAACCTAAACAGATCCGTTTCTACATTTACACCAATAGTGTCAAAAACATTTAATAAAGCTCTGAAAAACAAAGACAGATAAATTTTCATGCCCAAGAACATGCTACTTCTACTGTGAAAATTTTTATTTTTAATTATAACTCCCCTGCAACTCCTCAACAAAACTGCTGTTTTTTGAATTCCACTTTTACTATTAATGCTTATTGCAATGAGAATCTAAGCTGAATATTTCAGGCCCTTTTTGATGCCAACATTTTAATACTTCATATTCAACTTAGTTCAGGTAAGTAACATGGTAAAGAAACAGGTCAGAGAGTACAATAAAAGCTTTTTTTGCTTCCTGTTCCAACGATTACAGTAACTAATCTGCTTATGTTTCCCCAGAACTTCAAACCACATAGCAGATCTGTAGTTCAACAGGACTTCTCTCCACCGTCTGTCTTATCTGAACTTTAAGAATGAGAGTCAGAACTCGGCTGTGGGATGGACGCTGAGATTCTCAACACCGATCTCAGACAGAAATCCCGTGTACTGCTTGAGCTGTGATGCCGAGACAAAATTCTCCTGTATGAGAAAAGTCCCAGAGCCTTCACCTGTACTCTGATTTCAGTATGTGAAAATTCTCCAAATATTTAATCAGTGCATTGCCCTCAGCAGAGTAATTATCCTCTTAAAAACCGAAATCGGCAGCACTGCCGCGTAGGAGGAGTGGCGCAGGGACAGCGATACAGCAATGGAGACGGCAAGTGCAAAACCAAGCACTTGTACGTCCTGAAAAGCTGAAAGAAACCACTGGGAGATTCTCCTCCACACGCACGTTCTGGGCAGATGGCCGGCATAACGTGCCCGTTTAACTGCCCGTGTCAATCTGCCGCAGCTCGAATTTTAACAGCAAACTGCTAATATCAAACTATCACACTTCTATGCAAGTCGTCTTACCTCATCTCTCACCGATGTGCTCCTTGTTTAGTTCGCAGCAGTCTGATTCATCTACTTGTCTGAATCATATTACACAATTCCTTTAAAGCTTCCCTAGTACCGATGCAATTTTGCTTGGATCTGATTTGACTTCAGAAGATCATTATGTCTGAACCAAGCCTTAAAGTACTGTATATCTTCTTGGACAGTGTTATAGAAAACACATCTGTGGCTAATTTAACCAGTCACTGGATATCGTTGTTGTTCCACACAAATCCACTTGGAATACAGTTTCTCTGGCAATAGTATACTTTCCCCCTAACCTTGCACACTCTCTCTGGGAGTCACAGTTTCCTGGCAAAGTGCCTGCCTTTGACAATGGGGCTTGTCACTAAGGGGCCTCAGAGGTTATAGATGACGCTCTTTTCTGATAGATTTATGTATTACCTAAACAAGACAAAGTGATGGGAAAAAAAACTGGAAACTGGTAAAGAGATGTCTTTTGGAAATATGAGATGGGATTGTAAATCACTAAAATTCACTTCTGAAACAGCTGGCTTTGGAGTAGGTGGAGCAAATCACCCAAATCTGCAGTTTGAATCTGTGTTTGTTTGTCTTTTAACATTGAGATAAATCTGATTTACAAGAGACCAACGCGAAATGCTATTTGGGACTAAACACAGTCTCATACTTTGTATAATGAAAATGATAATGTTCCGTTGCTGCTGATGCCAGGAAACATTATTTATTAGCTAATTCAGCACACGATTTCAGATCTCATGTTGTGCAGATTGTTTCTGAAAGTGGAGAGCTTTGAGAAGGAATAACATACCTCCGGGAGAGACTAGCAACATTTTTTGTCCAATGTGCAGAGTCTGATATTGTTCTTGCCTTTAGGCTTAGCCCCCGGCGCATAGTTTTCCGTCCTTCTGAACAGGAAAGGAATAGGAAGGGAAATTTAAAGAAGCTCAGAAGAGCGTTTCAGAATTGCAACATTTGGGAACAGTTTCCCAAATGAGGACAAAAAACAAGCTCTAAGACGGAGCTGAATGCGCTTATAAAAAGGGTAATACGACAGTGCTTGTGAAAGGCAAAAACAAGGGAGCTGTGACCCAAGAGATCTCTTCCAGTCCAGCCTGCCTATGTTTAGATGATGACGACACCAAACTGACCAAACACCAGGAAAGATCTCTAAGTGACATTTTTTCATCACTTGCTTTCAGCATATTTACAAACTGAACCCTGGGACTTAAAAAAAAAAAAATCCAGCACATGTTGATACTGAAGATCTGGAAAAGTTTACTAAAGGCAATGAAACGAACAACATCTATTAGCATATTTTTGTTCCAAAATAAGTCTCATGACTAAAACATGAAAATTACTATAGCAGCCCGCTCTTGGTAACAGCTGGTGAAGAGCTCTCTTTCTCCATCAACTTGTAAATATCACCTATGACCTAGAAACTGTACGTGGCAGGGTCTAATCATGCCCCAACAGTGCACAGGACCTGGCAGATTTCAAGGCATCCTACCGACTGATTTGATGTGGTAATTACTTTGCCCACCAGTGCTGGAGTGAAACAGGAAATATTTTAAAAAGCTAAAGAAGGCTATTACACAATGTGTTCAGGACAGGAAATTAGAACACTTTAATCGATTTAAACTTGGTTATGCCTTGGCAGATTAAATGGCAGACTAAACAATGGCAAACAAAAAAGAAAGGAAACCAATTTGACTTCTCTTGTGAAGGTCCAGCCAGATCTTGGGTTATTTTGTAGGCACTCAGGACCTCAACTTTAAATCCTGATAAAGGAAGACGTCTCCCATGCACAGTGCCCCCCTAGACACAAGTAGATACTTAAAAATATTTACTCCCAGAAGCTGACCAGCTTAATTCAGAGCCTTTACTCAAAGGAGTAAATATCTGCAGTATCCTGGAAACTAAAGAGAAAAGTTGAGATTAAATCACCATGACAGTTTCTGGGAAGAGCCAGGTTCTTCTCAAAAGCTGCAGACTTAGCCCGTTTCAAAGCTGTGCTTAGATCCTCACTGAAGGTCCGCTCAGCCTGATTTCAAGAATACAGGTCAAATGTGTCTGTTGGCTACAAAACTGTAACACCTCCATAGATGACATGGTATAGAGAAATATGATGATAAAGCAAACTAAGACCCTAAGAACCCTAACTACCTGAGAGAAAAGATCCTCTGGTCTCTAAAGGAAAGGATGAGATGATAAGTTTTTTACAGCTCATTTAGATAATCAAAAATCAAAGAAGCTTCCAGATTACAAACAACCAAGATAAAACAGAACAAGAGGAAAACTAAAATCACCCAACATTTTTAGGCAAGGAAGTTTTAATCTAGAATAAGTTTTCCACTTGCCAGAATCAGAAGAAATCACCCTTTCCCTTCCCCTGATTTTGTTTTCTTCCATTCAGAAAATAATCGTTTTAACCAGGAGACTGGACTTAAAAATGAAGCTGATCTAAAAATTTAACAGCACTAGGCAGTAAGATAAATCAAACTGCAGGCAGAGCATGAGAACATTCCTTGTGCTGAGGCAGAGGTGGGTATTGCCTAAACCCAACTCCCCAGCTCCACATCTGTCTGCAACCAGAGCATCTCCCTAAATAGAACATTGTCCTTCTCTTGCCTTCACCTTTCCTTCCTGATGATAAACCCAAGCTTTATATTTCTGCTTTGAGGAATATCTCTGTGAATCTCCCACAGTTTTGTACTCCCTGTGCATTGTGGCTGGAGTGGTCCAAGGTGTTGATGCTTGTGGGGATCCGGTTGAGGGACCACACCAGCCCCGTCAGCTCCCTCAGCCAGCACATGGCACAGCTGGGAGTGGGGAGGCAGCAGCCGGGACTTGGGGTGGCTTAGCCTGGCACAGACCCACACCTTTAGAAAAACGGACTTGAGGAGCTGTTTAAGAGAAACCATGAAGCACACTTCCTCCCTAATGAGTTCTTCCTCAAAGATTAAACCCTGCAGTTTGGCCACAGCAGAAGGCTCTTGATGACAGTATTTATTTTCTGAGCTATACAAATTGTGCTGGATAAGAGAAAAACGTGTTGAAAACGGACTTGAGGAGCTGTTTAAGAGAAACCATGAAGCACACTTCCTCCCTAATGAGTTCTTCCTCAAAGATTAAACCCTGCAGTTTGGCCACAGCAGAAGGCTCTTGATGACAGTATTTATTTTCTTTTTGAGCTATACAAATTGTGCTGGATAAGAGAAGAACGTGTTGCATTACAAGGAAGAAGGAACTGCTGAGCATGCATAAAGGGAGTCACAGAACCCTGATATCCTCAACACTGCAATTCAAAGTCCTTTATAGTTTTACATGAGAACCAATCTCGGTTTTGTTATTGTTCTTGTCAATCAATTCCGAGGCAGGAACCTAAATCCCAACTCTTCTCAAGTAACACAGGAGAAGAGTGAATGTAGAGAGGGAGAAACGATTTTATTTTATTTGTGCAAAATCTCAAAAGCATTCTGTGCCCTGAATGAAATTTGCATGGATAATATTCTTGTAATATGACCGACAAAATAAACAAAATGCACAGAATGATACAACTAAGGAGG